CTCCTCTTTGGACTGTGATTTAAGAAGAGATACAGGCCCTTATTCCTATTTGATCTAGAATTTGGTAGAAAGATATTCAATAAAACTTGGTTGACTGGATAAATAAAAAAGTGATTTGTAATAAGGCCAAGGGAAGTTCTTTTCCCTGAGGCAGTATACAGTTTGATTGGTAATTCACCAAAAATAATAAAGAGTAGAATGATGTAATCATGTAGGCAGAATTACAAATGGGAGGACCAGAGAAGCTTCCTAGATTAAACATCATTGGAGAACATGGGAAGACAGGTCAGGCCAAGGTGCATATCATGCATGCATGAAGTAGCAGAGTCAAGAAAGTATGCAATTCGTACATACCCAGACTACAGAGGGATATAGTGGAGAATGAGTCCGGAAAATATGAACTTAGACCAGAATATGTAGAGACTTGAATGTTGAAATGTCTGAACTCATCCTATAGGCCAGAGTGAGAAAGTAATTGTATGTTCCTTGACACAATATGAAGGCTAACATGGGTGAGAAATCAGGGGCCTGGAGATGAGTTAGTAATTGTGTAATAGTCAAGGTAACATCAACGTTGAAGGAGACACTGGCAGTACATCGCAGTTGAGGAAGTAAAAGTTGCAAAATGCATTATTTGACAGACCTGGCTGTGAGGAAAAATTAATTTTATTAAGAATATCACCTTTCAGGTCTTGGGTGTTTATGGTGAGGTGCAGGGATCATGTTGGGAGCTTTAGGTGATCATGCCCTTTGACCCCCATGGTGGACATGGTGAATGTTGCCATGAGGGAAAAATCTAGAAGTCTTAACATAGACAACACTGAGGAAGTGTCAGAATGAGGCTGGGAGTAGAGGGTTCAGAAATTTAATTTTGAGGCATTACTAAGATGTTCATATCCAGCCATGTTCGTGGAAATCAACACTAAGCCATGCTGTGCTCTAAAGCTGCCCTTCAGTGTGGGAGGGGAAGCTGTGGGAAAGGCTTTGGGACTCACGATCACACTGTTTTGTGACAATGTATAGTGGGGAGGGGCAGCCACGTTTATGGTAAAGACAGAACAGGGTGCAGCCATGGGCAGAAGAGGGTAAAAGATGGAGCACACACACAGGACTGAGAGAGTTTGAGGTAAAGGAATGGGTGCGGTGATGCCTGCAGGATGGCTCAGATATACAGGCTGACCCAGTGTGTCTTCTCAGAGTAGGGGAGTGTGAGGCAGGACGAGGTGCAAGCATCATCGTGAGTGAGCTTCAGGTCCTGTGTGATGGCAGACAGGAGAGGACAGAGGGGGCGGGGCCCGGGAGCCAGACCGCACATGCTGGACCGCGATGCTGGGAGACAGTGTTCAGACAGGGCTTGAGCCCTGGAGACAGTGAAATGTTTACTGCTGAAACCCTACCAAGTCTCGTTTTGTTGGCTAATTTTTGATAACTCAGAAGGCTTTTTGTTTGCTTGGCAGTGCCTCAAGTATGTTAAAAACAGCAATTAATTAGAAATGGTTTTAATTCTTCTTGCTAGTAGAATGATTAAAAATAGAAATATGCCTTGTGTTGCTTTCTGGGAGCTTTTCAGAGGAGCTTGGGTGGATGGAGGGGGGCTAGTCCCCTATGACTGTGGTACAGGGCAGAGTCAGGCACATGTTATGTCTTCAGGGGAAGAGAAGCTGAGTTTGGGCTTTTCAGTGATGGGGAAAATCATTTCAAGGAGGTTCCAAGGCCCAGTGTCTAGAGAGTTTTGTGGCAATGAAAAGGGTTGTTGATGGTGGTTGGTAAGTGGCTGGGCATGTCAGCTGGACACACATTCTTCTTTTGCTTAGCAGTGTGCTAGAGACATATACATCCATTTCTGTGATCAAGTGCCATATATAAGAGGTCTCTCTGGTGGCTCTCTTAGGGATTCCTGTCCTTCCTGATCTGGGATTAGGTATGATGTGTGAACTCATACTTACAGCGGCTGCCGCTCAGATGCCACAGGAACCATTAGAGCATTGTGGCCGCTTGTCCTACCATGATGCCCTCTTCCCCTGGCTGCTGTGTCCCAGATTTGCCATGGACACCTGCCCAGTGACCACTAGAACTGACCCACAAGCACCACTGCTCTTTTGTCTGTCCTTTTTTTGGCCCCACCGCCACCCTGGTGGGAAATTGGAACTTTGGTTCCTTTCTGTAATGGATTGTGGTCATTGTAGTGGAGATGAAAATTAAAGTCTCCCCCACCCCACACTGCCCATCTTTACTTTCCAAAGTCTTTTCCATGCTCCTAAGTCAGAAAGCCACTCGCAAAACTATGTGAAACTTAGGTACCTTGACTCTATGATGTAAACGTTGTTGCTTTGTCCTTAATAAACTCCCTTCAAGGACATAACGGTACAATGTATTTTTGTTCCTTTTTAGTAGCTGTTACTGTCACATGAACACAACATGAAACCTGGGTTTCAAATTTTACTGCAGTTTTATTCCCAGGAGTGAGCTGGTGACCACTGTACAGAAAAACTTGGGTTTTTTTTATTCTTGATACTGTTAAATCTACATTTTCCCTTTATAAGATTTGGAAAGTCCTTCATCCTTATTAAGCTAATGCATATACTTAGAGTTTATTCAACCAATAGTTGGCTACAGGCCGATCCTGTCATGCCTTTCAATATCTGGGGCAATAATCCTAGGCATTTTCTTTTATCTTTTTCCCTTTTAGCAAATAAAACTAAGACAGAAGCAGCTAGTGTTCTGCAATAAAGCAGACGTGGAGGGGAATGGGCATTCTAGTCTTTGCAGTTGGATTCTGCTGTAGAACAGAAAGTGACAGATCTCATGAAGGCAGCTTCAGGGGATATGGCACGGTCTATGTTCCAGAGTACAAATCTTTGAAGTTTCCAGGAGGACGAAGGTTCCTTTTGTGTAAGTTATTAAAGAATACTAAATTTATCAATGACCCTTGGTTTCTACAGTTCTTCGTAAAGGCAGAGTTTTATTTTGTTTTGTTTGGTCCATGGCTTTATTTGTTTTCTTACTTCTTAGTTGAAGATCTATTTTGCAATTGTTACTGCTCTAAATTCTTTCTTTTAGATATAGTCATTAGTAAATATCCCTCATCGTGATTAATGTTGCCAAGAAAGTTAATTGTATTGTATATGTCAGTGGAGAATTATTTCCTCTTCTCTTCCCCATTTCTTGGTGGTTTGGAAATGAGCAATCTGTTCTAAAAATCCTTAAGTGCATTTCAGCATTTATTTCTATAGTACTTTGCCAGCATCTATAAGAACCATTAAAACCACTAACACGATAATAGGATTTTTGCAGCAATTCAAAATCCAAGTGGAGGAAAACATCTATGCTAAGCATGGAGGTGGTGCACTGAGTATCTCAAAGGTGAATTTTTTTTGGAGTGATAAAAATGACTACATCTTTTAAAAGTTAATTGCAATTATGAATAACTTTTTAGTTCTTTTGAAATTTTCTGTTAGAGCTCAGATCTTTTAGAGCAGGCAGTCAGAGTTACATTCAGAGATTACACATGATAATCTCAAATCCAGGTCATCTCTTGAGTATGTGCTATGTCTTCATGTTTATATGACATGCATAATTCTTAAATTTAAAGTTTGCAGTGGTTCCTTTTGAGTTTGATATGGCTAAATGGTTTCTGTTGTAGAAAAATAGTCATTACATCACAGATATGTACATGCGTGCATGCGTGCGTGTGCGCGTGTACATGTATGTGTGGAAGCTAGAAAGTAATTATGGGTGTCATTTCTTAAGTGATGCCCACCTATTTTTTAAGACAGGATCTCTTCTGGCCTGGAACTACCCAAATAGGCTGGGGCTGGCTTGCCAGAGAGTGCTAGGGGTTGAATTTAGGTCTTTGTGATCACAAGGCATGAGCTCTGCCTGTCTAACTATCTCCCCTACCCCACAGCATAGACTTTCAAAGTCTTCATGGGGCATTTTTCTGGACAGCTTCTTTCTGATTTCAATGACTTTGGGAGAATGAGCGTCTGCGGTTTTCTTTCTTCCTGTGATTTCTGTCCTGACAGGTGTTTGTCATTGGGTCACTTTCTGGGCCTTCATCTCATTTATAAAATGAAGGGGTTGAACACATGGTCTCTGAGGTCCTTTTCCACTTGAAGTTCCTCTGAATGAGTGGATTACCCGCGTTTGTGTTCACACCGTGCTCATCTCTTACACTGCTTTGCTAAATTATGTCTAGAGTTGCTGTAGTCAGCAGCACTTTCTCTCTTGTCCTCTCCTTTTGAAAGCTTTTCCTTACGAACCATAGTACACTCGGAAAGCATGCCCTAGGGATTGTATCATACACTGACACCCTGCACCCCCAAATGCAATAAAGGAGGAATCCTGATTATGACCTAAACCATGGCCGTGCTGAGGATGATGTTTCATTCCGTCATTTCACAAGTTTCAAATGTGGAAGAAGTGCGTTAGGGATAGTCTCACGCTGTTTTGTTTTGCTTAAGTAGGTAGAACAGGATCCTGGGAATACGAGGTTGATGTCAGGATCTGGAAAAGAGCAAGGGGGCAGTGGAAGGGGGTTTGTTCAGTAGATGTAGGTGTTAAATTGCTGGTACTCTGGCCTAGTGGGGTTCATCAGGCACCCAGATTTCTCTGCCTTTACACAGTCAGCAGTGAAGTGTGCCTGGGTGCATTTCCTTAGGCAGTTTTGAAACTTGGCTCATGACTATGTGTGTGTGTGGTAACTAATAAAGTTTCTAAGTAAAAGTGAAAAATGCAGTCCATATTTAGTGGTTCATGAGTATGGTATTCTTAATGTTTTGTTCTGTATGTGAGACTAATGTGTTTCAAGAGTGAAAGAGCGTGGGAGTCTACAGGCTGTATGGTCTTTTGGAGTGTTACCTTCCTTCCAGTTGTCAGTGGATTGATAACCACGTAGGTTAGTTTTCTGTGTCTCATGCATGCGCTGTACAACCCAGGTAGCAGCCCCATTGAGTGCTGTGCACATCCAGCCAGTGAAGATGTGGCTTCTTTTGATTCAGGTACGGCGAGTTCCTGGGTCCAGTGGTCACCTCCATAAAACTGAAGATGGAGATTGGGAGTGGAGTGATGACGAAATGGATGAGAAGAGTGAGGAAGGAAAGGCAGCTGCCTCCCAAGAGAAGGTAAATGGCCTTGGCCACCACTGAGGAATCTGTGCACTGTGCTGGTGCAGTACGTCATGTATGCTAATGGACATATAATTGTTTTGCAGTCTCGAAGAGTAAAAGAAGAAAATCCAGAGGTGAGGAATGGCGATTATGTATGTATGTTTGGGGTATTTATCTATTCACTCCTTCATTCCCTCGTTGTGGCATCAGAGTCTGATCCATCTGGGAGACAGTTCTCAACATCTCATGGAGATGAGAGGGAAGACATATAGATTTCATTGGTTCTAATTCTGTCGGAGTCACCTTAGCCTTACCAGACTATGGCAAATTAACCTACTCTCTGAGCCTTTGCTCTCCCCAGTGGTATGGGATGATCATGGCACTTATGTGGTAGCCAAGAAAATTGGAAGAATCAAATGGAAAGCACTCAGTGGAATCCTTGGCCCTTACAGGGAGATAATTATTTTTAACTTGTGTTACACTATTAGAAAATACTGAAAGCATATAGGTAAAATTTGCCTTGTATTTTAATTCATGGGGAAAAAAAAATCAGACATTGAGTGGTCAAAACTCCAGGTTGAATGACTCTTGACCTTTACATGTGCTGGATGACTTAGGTAAGCAAGAAACGCTCTTAATGACTTCTCCGAGAACTGGTCATAGTTTTACTAAGATCAGATTTTACTTACTTCCTCCATCTGATTAATTATCCTTATGCCTAATGATGACTGTAGTATGCTAATACTCATAGATGAAATTTGAGAATATTTAAATAGCCCCAGTGTTTCACAGACGTAGGAATTAATATGTACCTTGATAAACCTCATTAAAGCAGGAAAACTTTGGCCTACAAGGGATACCCATCTAGCTTTTTTTAAATTAGCAGACATTTCCTTTGAGTAAGTGAAGTGCATCTTACCTGGAGTTTGAAGGAGCAGTAGCTAGCTGCACTTTTAGCAAAGCCCCAGCAGAGCCACAAGCCACTCTCTCCCCTGGCCTTTCTGACCACTCTGCTCTCTTCATCTCATCCTGGTGAAAGGTTCCTGCTGTGATTTTCTCAGCCCACCAAAGTTGGCTCTCCTTCGGATCCTGCCTTCTCTCCTTCATGCGTACAACATAAACATCCTCAAGGATGCTGGTCTCCACTATAGGAATCGTGGTGGAGCTCCTAAAATGGGACATAGTGGGTAACACTTTGTCTTGGGGTTTTAGAACACTCTTAGCTGGTTATAAAGCACTCTACCCTCTCTTGCCCATTTCCCACTGTGACTAGAGCAAAGCACAGAGTCCAGGGTGTTTCCATTTGCATCTAAGACTATCTCTAATTGAAAGCCTGAGCTTTGCTTAGATATAGAACAAGTGAAGATGTTTCAAGCACAATCATTGACTCAGAAAGTGTTGCAGCTCATTCATCTTTGACTAGAAAACTAAGGCAGTATTTTATTTATATGATTGTCCCCTTTACGTTCTGAATATACTACTGTGCATGCTTGTCAGTAACATGAATATCCAGGCACTGGAGAAAAAACATAAAACAGGTATGAATAGGCTATAATATTTATGCACTCAGAATGGGCATAAAAGATCATGGGACATAAGTAGTTGGAGCAAAAGCAACTTTGTTACTTCCCTGTTTAGACAGAGTGAGATGTGGCATTTTTATGGGTGCTTTGCTTATGAGAGGCTGCATGGCATCCTTGGCAGGCTAAGGTAGCACATGTAGATATCCCAGCATCTGCTGGTGAAGGTCAGGAAGGTCTGAGCAGGTGTTTTTTAGTGGGGTACTGAGGGAAAAGGTAGCTCTTGGGCTGCATCTGGAGGTTCTGCTTTGGAAAGAATTCCCAATATGGACTTTTAGGCTTTCAGAGTTAACACTAGTTATCATGAAAATCATAGCCCAGCACTTTGAGAAATTGGCCCAGTTTTTTAAAAATACGATCTTCTGGGAAACTTACCCACTAGTAATTAATAATTTGGAGCAAATGGATAATCGTCCTCTCTTATTTATCATCTTGTTCTACTTGGAGACAGAAGTCCATGGAGACCAAAGTTCATTAACAACAATACTAATATTAGAACTAGAGTGAATTAATTGATCAAAAACTGAACCCATACCTCATGTCTGCTTGGAACTGTGTTAGACACCATGGGATTTATGCACAGAGAGAATGCTTGCTTTCCAGGGAGCTTTTCATCTTTGGGAAGAGTGTCAAGGAAGGCCTGGGCAAGGACTGGCTTTTTAGGGAGTGTTTCCCAGCTCATAGATCTTATCTGAAATTTCCAGTTATTATACATTATCGATCTTTTGAGAAGTGGTTTGTGATTTCTTTTTGTCAGACTCTGAAGTAAGTACTTGTTGCATGATTCTGTCACTTGGCTTCACTTAATTTTCTATGTGAAAAACGAAGCTGATCTTTGGTTTCCTTTAACTGAGGAAGACGTTCAGCAAGGCTTGCATTTAAACAGATCCTTTTAAAAGCCACATATCGGTTACCTGATAGGAAAAGACTTACTACTCTGCCACCAAAATCAGAGCAGGCAAAACCTTGAAGAACATGAAGTGATTGATTCTTAGGGCTCAGCCCATAGGGTTAAACTTGGTCACTTACAGTTAGGTCTGGGCAACTCGGATTTTTAAAAAGCTTCTCACAGGACAAGGAAAACCACAGAAGTCACTCTCAATCCTGATGTATAGAATGGCATCCAAGGTTATGGGTGGAAGTTCCTGAAGTATCTGCCTGTCTGGAATAAATAAATAAATAAATAAATAAATAAATGAATAAATAAATAAATAAATAATAAGGCAAGGAAACATTTCACCAGTCAGCTGAAAACTTGTCTTTGAGCTAAGCAGACAAGCAGATGCTACAGGAAGGATGATGAAGGGTCTTGTCTAGAATATCTGTGAAAGCATCTCTTTGCTGGCTCCGCAATCTTACTCTCATCAGAACAGCTTTTCAGTGTGGATTTAGATCGAATTAATTTTACCAGGTTTAACTAGAGATTAGACATAATGTGAAGATTAAATGTATTTCTGTCGTGTGGTGGTTTTTAAAACTGCCACTTGCTCTTCAAACCGTTCCGATGGAAGGTGTTTCGGGGATGCTCCTCAGCTCTTGGTGTGCTTGCTCTAGACTGCTGTGAAAAGGCAGAGACAGGCTGACGCCTTCCCGAGTGTGTGATGCCGAGCCCTGTCTGTCACAGGCTGTGTGCAGCCTCGGTGTCCAGCCGCTGCCCGTTAGTGCAGGTGACTGCCTTCAAGAGTACTCGTGACCAAAGTTAGATTTGTGACCAGAAATCTACTGTGGCTTCCAAACATTCGCTTTCTGTTTTAGAACGATTTTCCATTTGTAGAAATGCTGCAAAGATGGCAAACTCCTCATGCAGTTTTTCTTTGGGTTATTTTTCATATAATCTGGGTGTATTTATTAGAATTCAAAAATGGATTCTGCTACGGTATTATCAGCTAGCTTCAGAATTCCCTTGGATTTCACTAATTTGAACACTAATGTCCTTTTCCTGTTCTATGGGGATGCAATCCACAAACACTGTATTTTGCTACAGTGTTACTGAAAACAGAAAAAGAGCAGGCAAGACTCCACTCTATCAGGAGGTGGGAAGCTGACAATGCTTCTTTTTTGTTTTGTTTCAGCTCTGTAGTGTTTACCTCTCTTTTACTAGGTCTGAGGTCTCCATCAGGGTCTATTTCCAGAAAGGTGTCCAACACCTTCTGGAAGGGTTTTCCTCCTTCCTTCCTGTCAAAATGCATATCCACTCAAGTACTCTTCTTCTAGCAAAATTGTTTAGAAAGAAAGCAATCCGGCACATTTCTGGATTGCTTTTCCAACATATAGCAATATTAAAACACTTCATAGTGACCTAACACCGTGTTCTGATACATTTTCTATATTGTTGATGGGCGATTGCTATCAGTCTTGTCGGCTTTCTTTTAGGGTTTCAGTGTAAGGAGTATGTGGCTGGGGTCTAAATTTGTAGGGTGAGTTCACAGTGGTGACAGTAGGACCTGAACTTGATTATGAGTGAATATATCTTATATAGGGGCTGTTTCCTCACACTGAGCACCCTTGCATGTTTGGAGGAGTTCCATATCCTGGTCCTGTGCCAGTGGGAGTAACTTCTTTATGACATGCAGGGTTATACCAACATGGGAAGTTGCAAGGTATGTGGCCCCTCTGTCCAGTCCACCTGACTCACTTGCTTGCCGTCCTAATGATGGTCCAGGAACAAGGAACAGGGAAGGATGGGGCAGATTGTGGATCAGCCTGCATGAATCTTCAAAGGGGTATTTGGTAGAAGGCCTGGTCCTCTGCTGGTTAGTGGCCATAGATTAGCATCGATTATTACCCCCTTTCTTGCCCCCACCCCTAGACAGGATTTCTTTGTATAACAGCCTTGCTGTCCTGGAACTCACTCTGTAGACCAGACTGGCCTTGACTTCGCAGAGATCTGCCTGATTCTGCTTCCCAAGTGCTAGGATCAAAGGTGTGCGCCACCGTTGCCCAGCAGTTAATTGTTTTTCAAAGGTCAATTTTTTTTTTTTAACCAACTTGTTGTTATAAAACTTTTCAAACCTACAGCAACATTAAAACACTTGATAGTGACATACCTAGCGCCCTGTTTTGGCTGTTAGTACAGTCGCTTTGCCACATATGTGTCCTAGTCATCCAGTTTGCCCCCCTGAACTTTCCCATGCATTTCAGAGTAAATCAGAGGCATTAATCAATGCACTGTGCCCTGTCACTTCAGTCTGAGTGAAGTTATTTTTGAATTGAGTGCAGAGAGCAAGAATGTCATACTCTCAGATTTTAGAGCATGCTCACTGCAAAGGTTTCTGATGATTTTAGTGTTGGTAACACATTAGAAATAAGACCCCACTCATGGTTTTCTTTGCTGTTTCTCCCTGGGTGTGGTGGGTTTTGTTGGTGGTGTTGACTGTCTCTCAAGTTTATACTCCAGGGTAGAGTTTACCAATGTAGAGCTTGAGGCAGAAATACCTTAGGACCAGAATAGAAATCTTGAGTGGAAAGTTGTACTCTTGCATTTCTTTTAGGGAAACGGTTTTCTTATTGTGTCTCAATACACTTACTCTGACTTGATTAAACGACAGTGAGAAGTTATTCAGAGTAGTGATGTACAAGGCAAGTTTTGCTGACTCTTCATATGCTTTCATCAAGGTCCTCTTAACATTAGATGAAATGATACTACAAGATCAAGTTGTTATTTTAGACTATGCTGCTTCTCATAAACCCTGTGGGTCACCCCAGGATTTATTCAAGACTCAGATTCTCTCCCTTCTCCATGAGATTCAGAATGGTAGGACGAGTGGGTCTCTGGAGTATAAGGGGGGCCAGCAGCATACTCTGCCAGATGTTGCTGCTTAAGGTCCTCTAAAAAGTTTCACCTCCGGTTATCAGGATGTAATGTCCCAAGGCCTGACATCACCCTCCAGCTTCCCTTTGTCCTAACATCAGTTTTCTTAACAGATCTCGGTAAACGCTGGTGGCATCCCAGAGCAAATACAGTCCCTCTCCGTGCACGACTCTCAGGTGGGTTCTTCTGCCAATCATTTCTATTTGAGATGCTTTGTAGACAGCTTCATAGAGAAACTCAAGAAATTTATTTATTTATTTTTTATTTCTTCTTCATACATTACATCCTGACTGTAGTTTCTCCTCTCTCCACTCCTCCCAGTCTCTCCACCCCAACCTCTCCTCTCTCCCAGATCCACTCCTCCTCCATTTCCCTTCAGAAAAGAGCAGGCCTCCCAGGGATAGCAATGGAACATAGCATAACAAGTTACAGTAAGACAAGGCGCAAACCCTCATTAAGGTTGGATGAGGAACAGAAGGGATCAGACGGGGTGAGGAATGGAGAGAGGACTTGGAGAGAGGACTGGAATTGGGGGGGGGCATTTGGGAGGCAATGTGGAAACCTAGTACAGTGGAAATTCCCTGGAATCTCTGAGGGTGACCCTAGTGAAGACTCCTAGTACCGGGGAATGCAGAGCCTGAACTAGCCATCCTCTGTAACCAGGCAATGTTTCCAGAGTTTACAAAGCCAGCCACAAAACCTTCTACCTACAGTTGTCCTTCTTGCAAGATGTGCTGGGAAAATAGTGACATAGAATTTTTGGGAGTGGCCGACTAATGACTGGTCCAACTTCAGGCCCAGGCCAGGAGACTGAACCCACATCTGACACTGCCTTGATGGCTAGGAACTAGAGGCTGGATAGCCCAGAAACCTAGGATAGACCCAAACTGGACTGGCAAAAAAAAAAAAAATCAAAAAGGTCAATGAAATGATTCCTAATGATACTCTGCTATACTTGTAGGTTGGTGCCTAGGCTAATCGTCATTAGAGACACTTCATCCAGAAACTGATGGGAGCAGATGCAGAGACCCACAGCCACACATGAGGCAAAACTTGAGGGTTTTATACAAACAGACACTTCAGGATAGTGCTCCCAAATCAAGGAATGAAAAACAACAACAGAAACCACCCCTTAAAGTAGATATGAAGAAAAAGAACATCATTACTATTAACCATCCTTTGCAAGGTGTTCAGCCCTAAAGAACAGACATTTGAGAAGGAATAGATTACCCAAGTGGGTCTGAAATCACCGGTACTGTGGGCAAAAAGCAAAGGGAAGAACATGACTCTTAAGTCTATTAAACTCTAGCTACCAAATACCGTGGTTAATTGATTCTTTCCTTCCTTGCTTCTGATTGGATTTCTATAACCTCTCTTGGTGATTCTTTTATCATTGAATTTTATGGGACAATTCATCTCTACAACTTTTCTTATTAAAATAATAGTCCAGTGACTGTGCAGTGCATGTATAATGCACACTTATAACAGGTGTATGACGGGAGGGCCTGTGCTGCGAGTGTGTGGGGCGGTGAAGCTATCACAGGAAGGATATAGACATAGAGCCCTGGGATAGGCCCAGGGGTTTTGTTGTCTAATGATATTCTGATTATATGTCTTTGTACTTAACCTGCTTCTCTATTTTATGGAGCAGCTGTAAGTGGAGGGGGTGTTGGTGCAGAGGGGTTTCATGACTGCAGGAAGCCTCCCTGTTAGGAGGTCTGATAGCTAGTCCTTGTCTTTTCTAGCTGCAGAAAGACATACAGAGGTTAAGTGGCTTGTGCAAGCCTATGCAGCTGCTCAGAGGCAGAAGCAGGGTTCAGTTTCGATCTTTACACTCGATCATCCAACTCAGTGAAAGACCCTGAGGTGAACTAACTGTAGGGGTTAGCCTCACCATAAAAGACAAATTAGGAGGAAGTATGGGAATGCAGGCAAAGGAAGTAAACAGGAAAAGGGTACAGTATTGATTAACGTTTTATAATTTATGGCTCCCTTTTACATCTTTTATTTTCCCAGCACCCCTTTGAGACAGGTGGCTTACGTATTTTGTAAACGGAGCAACAGGCTCTGAGAATTACTTGCCTGTGGCTGTATAGCACATTCCCAGCAGAGCCAAGCTTGGCTCGAAATCTTCGCCTTTTCCTGCTTTTCCTTTTCTTTTTCAACAAGGAGATCTGATCAAGCCCAGATATTCATAGGAATAGTCTGTCACACAGGTATCCATGATGGATGAGCTGTATCAAGATGATAGGTGAGAAGTACAGTGAGAATGAAAGTTGATTAATCTGTGTTCACCTCTGATGCTTACATTTAATGTACCGAAGCCATCCCACCCCCACCAGGTATAGTATGGGGATAGAACCCAACATCTTACGCATAGTAGGCGAGTGTTCTATCACTGAGCCACATCCCTAGCTCTTGCTTTTTTGAGACAGGTTCTTGCTGTGCATCCTAAGCTGTACTTAAACTTGCAGTTCTCCTGTTTCCGTGGCCTGAATGCTGGAATTACAAGTATCACAACCAGCCCTGGCAAGGTTCCTTACCTCCGTGCGTCTCCACGGTTCAGTAGATGGTGGCCATTTGCTCTGGACCAACAGAGTGCCACACTAGGTGGATGGCTGTAATTTGGACTAGCTGCCACAATGCCATCTACTCACAGAACCCATCCTATGGCCGAGGCTGTCTGTGTGACACATGGGCACCCATGGTCGTGATGTTAATTAAGCAGCTTTCTGACCCTCTAAAAAAGGTGTTGTGAAACCTTTTTTAGAAGACCTGCTGGGATAAGCACTGGTTTTGAAGTTTCCAGACCGGGCTACAAGAATCAAGAGATACTGTGGTTTTATTCATCCTCTTCCCAAGAAAGCTTCCAACATTGTCTGTTGTTTTGTTTTCAAAGGGCCAACCCAATGCCAACGAAGACTACAGAGAAGGTCCTTGCGCAGTCAACCTTGTTTTAAGATTAAGGTAAATAACGTTGTTCCCTGTTTTGCGTCATTTGTTTTTCCTGCAGTGCAGTATTCTGACCTCCTCCTTTAACTTTTCATAATATTAGGATAAGATGAAATTGTTAACTTCTGTGTTCTTTCCCAAACAACAGTGTAGGCCATATTCCTGGAACTAATTACACTCCTTTCAATGCTTGCAAAATGATTAATAAGAGAAACACCATTTAAGAACAGCTGTAGGTCCTATGTACCCTTCGTTACATTTTTTCCCTTGCCTTTTTCTTTATCATTTTTTCTTCCTTTCTTTTTTTAACAATGTAAGATCACAGTAAGAGATTTTTAATGAGTTTCTTTCACACGCCAGCAGTCAGTTTCTGACAGAAATAAACCACGCTGGTACTACAAGTTGCCTGTTCAGAACATTTTTCAGTGGCAGGTTTGATCAGCCACTGTGGAGAAATGACAGATGTATTTTGAAAGCACTTTCGTTCTTCTAGGAAATGGATACAAATATGGCGCCCGACAGACCATTGCCTGGTGACTGAAAGCTGTTTCTATTTTAAGACTCTTGTAAACTTAAAGGTCTATTTTTGCAGATATTCTGTATTAAGGATGTAGTATATCAAGAGAAAGGAAAACTGGCTGAACTTAATTGCAGACACCCCACTTTATCAGGCCAGTCAGAATGCTGTCACATTTCTGAAAGTGTTAAAAAAAGGGGAACTGTGTTTTCTTTTGACAATTACACACATAAAGCATGTGTGGTTAATGGATGTGTTCACAGTTGTGGCTAGGGAAATGGGTGTATAGTCAAGGTCAAGTTTGGTTTCCAACCCACAGCGTTAGCGTAGTCCACCGGAGGAGATGTTGTGATCACCCGTTGAGTATGGTCTGCAGTGTGTTTCCACATACCTTCTGAGGAACTCCACAGGAGTCCTTGGTGACATTTAATTTAGAGCAGACTTTCTATCCAAGGAGTGAAACTATTACAAAACAATAGCTTTGAGGAATATGTACAATTAGTGACTTTAGCAATTGCCAAAGAATGAAGTAGACCATCCGTGTTTTTGTCTTTAAACCAGAGTAGAGATTTAAATATTCAAATTCCGACCATTGTGTATCCTGTTTTCTGAATGGAAAACCTACATGAAATGAAAAGAAAGGAAGGGGATGTTGGTGTGTGTGTGTGTGTGTGTGTGTGTGTGTGTGTGTGTGTTTATATATACATAGATATAATATATATAATATATATATATATAATACATGAAGGTATGGCACTGAATAGTTTTATGTCACCTTGACACAAGCTAAAGTCATTTAAGAGGAGGGAACCTCAACTAAGAAAATGCCTCCATAAGATTGGGCTATAGGCAGGCATGTAGGCCATTTTCTTCATTTGTGATTGCAGGGCACAGCCCATTGTGCTGCACCTGAGCTGGTGGTCTTGGATTCTGTAAGAAAGTAGGCTGATAAAGGCATGGGGAGCAAGCTAGTAAGCAGCACCCCTTCATGGCCTCTGCATCAGATTCTGCCTCCAGGATCCTGCCTTGCTTGAGTTCTATCCTGATGTCCTTTGATAGTGAACAGCAATTTGGAAGCATAAGCTAAATAAACCCCTTCCACCCTAAGTTGCTTTGGTCATGGTGTTTCATCACAGCAATAGTAACCCTCACCAAGACAAGTGTATTACTTTTATATTGCTGTGTAAAAAATTACCCCAAACGGTGATGTGAAACAACACCCATTTACTGTTCCATCATTCCTGTAAGTCAGAAGTGCAGGACCAGCTTTGCTGGGTTCTCCATTGTCTTTAAGACTGAACCCAAGGCACTCTGCTAAGCTCACTTGGGCTGTTAACTAAACTGAATTCTTTACACCTGTATGCTGAGGCTCTTCGTAATATCTCACCCTGTACATTAGTCTTCTTCATACCAAGGGAGGAGGTTATGAAGTATGGCCACATACATCAGGGAAGAACTGTTAGGAACATTCTAGAGCTCTGCAATCCCTAGAAGATCTCTTTAAATAAGGTCACATTAGACTGTAGACACTCTAGTTAAGAATCAAGCCTTGAGGCAGAGTGAGTGGTGTTGGCAAAGGTTCTGTTCAGGAAGCATTGATGAGCAGTTATAAAAGTGCCAGGAAACTAGTGTGGGCAGAGTCATGGGCAGGGGATGAGGTCAGAGTTAGTGTGGGAGCCCAGGTGTGTAGCCTGTGGAGCTTCTGGAAAAGACTTTATCTTCACTGTTACAGGATCAGGCAGCCTGTGAGCAGAAATGTGGTGTGATCTGAGCTAAACTTTAAAACAATCACTGCAGCTGCCTTATGGAGAATATATTTAGTATTTCTTACAGTAATATGCTATGCAAACTTCGTTTTCTGGCCCTATCTATTTGGTACTGTGTATGATTCTTGTATTTGTATGGCTATTGTGGTAGTCTGAATGAAAATTGCCCCCATAGGTTTATAGGGAGTGACACTATTAAGAGGTGTAGCATCGTTGGAGTAGATGAGGTTTGGAAGCAGTGTGTCACTGGGGGTGGGCTGTGAGGTTTCAGGCACTCATGCCAGGCCCAATGCTGCTCTCTCTTCCTGCTGCCTGCTGATCCAGATGTGGAACTCTCAGTTATCTCTCCAACACCATGGCTGCATGTGTGCTGCCATGCTTCCCATCATGATGGTAATGGACTACGCCTCTGAAATGTAAGCCAGCCCCACTTAAATGCTTTCATTTATAAGAGTTTCTGTGGCCACGGTGTCTCTCTACAGCAGTAGAAACACTAAGATAGTTATATATACTTACTTAATCTTGGAAAGTTTTCTTCTGTGATCTTGTTGAGTTATTCTGTGCCATTGACCTGGGAATCTTCTCATTCATCTGAACCTATAATTAGAAGATTTGGCCTTTTCCTGGTGTCCTATAGTTCTTGGATTGTGTGTGTGTGTGTGTGTGTGTGTGTGTGTGTGTGTGTGTGTGTGTGTGTGTTTAGTTTTCACCTTTTTAATTTAAGTTTTCCAGTTCCTCTACTTTATCTTCAAGTCTTGATATCTATCATCTACTTAACCCATTATGTTTGCAAGGATTTCCCCTGAGTTTTCTAACTGGGCTATTGTGTTTTTCACAATAAGTTAAGTTTATCTTAATTTCAGCTTGAGTTTTCTTCTGACTTTTTTCTTTACTGAATTTGGTTCTTAAATCTTAAATTGCCTGTGCCATTTGATTCAGTCATATATTTCTGTTCTCTTGGACATCACTCAGGCATTTCCTATTATCCTCTTTAATAAGGTACTCATGTAAACTTATTAAATTCTTTGATGAGTTTTATGATTATTCTCTTAAATACTGTGTTGTGGGGTTCATCTAGGTAGTTCTCATTAGAGAATAGGTCTAGGTTCTAGGTCAGGGAGTGTAGAGATGATGCAGGGACAGATGGGAGTCAGAGGGACTTGCAAGGCAAAGGTTATTCACGAGTCACACATTGCAGGGCCACTGACCACACAGAGACACTGCAACATGGCAAACAGAGCTGGTCATCAGGTGACTGCAGTGACTAAACGCTGACCAGACCAAGGTGGTGGTGACTCATGGAGGCAGTAAGATCATTTTGGGAGAAAGTTCACTCTAGGCCTTGACTGAAAATATCATTAGTGGAGTCATAATCTTTGACTGCAGTGATTAGACAGATAGGACCAGAGTGGTGACTCATGGAGGCAGTAAGATCATTTTGGGAGGAAGTTCACTAGGCCTCAACTGAAAATATTGTTAGTGGAGTACACTGTCTTGGCTGATAGGAAGATGAATGGCTGTTCTTAGTGGTTTATCAGATGAAAAAAAAAAAAGTCATGCTAACTTCATTGAGTCTCATAGCTTCCAATATGTGTGTATGCTCATCTACACAGACACACATTATGGTGGTTTGACTAGGAATGGCCCCCATAGGCTCATGTGTTTGAATGCTTGGCCCATAGGGAGTGGTGCTATTAGGATGTGTAGCCTTGTTGGAGTAGGTGTGGCCTTGTTGGAGGAAGGGTGTCACTGCAGGATCAGGCTTTGGGGTCTCATGCTCAAGTTGCACCCAGTGTGGTACACAGTCGTCTCCTGCTGCCTACGGATCAAGATGTAGAGGTCTTAGCTACCTCACTAGCACTACCATGACTGCCTGCATGCTGGCCATGCTTCCTGCTATGATGATAATAGACTAAACCTCTGAAATTATAAGCCAGCTCCAATTAAATGTTTTGTTTTCCTTTGAAAGTGTTGCCATGGTTATGGCATCTCTTCACAGCAGTAGAAACCCTAACACACACACACACACACACACACACACACACACACACACACCTCCATATGTATGCATGTATACATGTACTCTGAATCCCCGGCATACATAGTATGTTGGCATCAGCAAATGTACTTGCTGTCCTTGTCCCCTGAGGCTGTGTGGCATAATGTGTTGTGTTCTACAAACAGTGGAGGAGAAGACTTCAGTTCAAGCCAGCCTTCCATCAATCCTTAACTAATATCATGTGAGTGGCTGATTGCTCTACCTTTTATAAGGTCACTATGACTTTTTTTGGCACAAAATTTGATAGACTTGCTTCCTTCCTTGTTGTATAACTGTGTACCCATCAGCCCCCTCTCTTTTCCTCTGAAAAGATCCACATTAAATATCTGTGTACCTATCAGCCTCCTCCAGCTTCTCCTAGGAAGATCATCTCATTTCCATTCTAAGGATAGGAAATTGGGGAATCTTTGACATTCAAAACGATGCAATCTACAAGAAAAGACAAATGCATTGTGGGTCTTGGTAGTGTATGTCTCTTTTATTCATTCACTTGTGTTCATAGACAAAAGACCAAGGAGACAAAAGTCTAATTTTCCCTTGAAAAATATTAATTAGCTTTTATAACTGATGCATTAGACATAAGATTGAGAAAATGGGTTTAAATCCTTGGTCTCTGTGTCAAATGCTGGACATGGTAAAATGTAGATTTTTTTTCCTGTATGTACTTGACCAA